TAGTTGTTAATAGGACGCAAAAAAACAAACAAACAATGGGTATTTAAATCATATTTGGACCCTCAAACTAAAATACCTTGAGCATGGACAAGTATGTGTTATTTTTCTGGTAATGATGGCATATTTTCATAGAAAAATATTCTACAATCTCTTTAGGGACAGGAGGACAGGGTCCCAAGGGCATAAACATCACCATATTGATGGAGCCGTTGTACAGCTAAGAGGACGAATCGAAACGTCTGAATATTTTGAAAAAAAGTTTCTTTAAGGTTTGCATAGAAAATCCTTTTTGCGTCTTGGAAAGTCTGTGGATTTTCAAATCAATATTTCCTATGCGTCAATAACAAAGGAACTGTGAACATGGGTGACAAAACATGCCTCACACTTTGTCATTTTGCCAATAAAGGGAACAAGACTTTGACTAGACCTGAATACACTCATTATTAGTAAAGTCGGTGGTATACATAAACACACAGTGTATCACAGGGAATAATGGTAACTTTATTCCAGTACAATTGAAAGCTCAGGCTTGTTACAGTTAACAAAAACGTTTGGTCCACTTTTAAAGACAGTGCAAACTTTCTGTTCTGTAAGCATAGTCTAAGCCAACCTATGATAATATTTAAGGGAGAGAAAATATGCACCATAAAATCTTTAATCTCTTATTAAACTAGCAAAGTCTCCTATTTTACAAAGTGATATATAGTTAAATGCAATTATAAGTTACAAAAAAACTATTCTTAGTTCTGATTACAATGACGTAATTAAATTTAAGCAAAAGAACAAGATATACATTGTATATATACTAAAGAATTCTGTAGACCTATATCAAATGTCAAATTTTGCAGGTGAGAAATTGGCAGCCTCTCTCCCAAACAGTGAGGCAATCTACTGTTTGCACAGCTATGTGCATGAATAACTGGATTTTTTTTCAATTTACAAAACAAATGTTTGGTAATATTAAATGTCCAACAAAAGGTTATTTGATAAAATCACAATGGTTATACGTACTCCTACGACTCAAGCCCCTTTTCTACCCGAGGTGCCATTAGTCACTGCCATAAGACAACACACCCGTTCTTAAGTATTCAGCTTTAAAATATTTACTCTGTCAGCAATGTCTTAGGGACGTTCAATCATTAGACAAATAGGAGCTAGCCCTCAAACCCGACTTTCAGCACAGGGAAAAGACAGTATCAAGGATCCCCGTACCACTGTCAAAGACTGGAACTTGTTATAATTACTAACTCATAGGGTTCTTTCTAGCATGACTATATAAGCTTTGATAAATCATTTCTGAAAAGAAAACCATACCTTAATTGTGGGACTTTTATGAAAAATAATAAAAGTGAAATTAACAAAATATAATCAACAGTAGTGTTCTGAGTGTAAGAATTTAAGCAGGAGCAGACCGGGATTTGAACCCCAGACTTCAGGTTGTTATATTGTCACTCTAACCGACTGAAGTACTCGGTCAACAAAACCGTCCTGAGGGAACTGTAATATTTGTATATATATATCAGTAACTATATCCAAGACAATATTAAGGGGAGACTACAGTTTATATGAAAAATCACAGTGCCATTATCTGGGACAAGGATATATAAATCATTTGTGATTTTCATACCTTCCTGTGTTTGACACGAAACATCATGGTGGTGGGCATGTGGTGCAGGAAATGCTTTACCTTTAAAACTGCGGACCCGGCTGCAGTTTATCGTTTTTTTACTAAGACAACCGTCCAAATTGTTTAAACATTTTTATATATGGAGTCCGGTAACATCAGCGGCCTCGGGCAAACAGTTCCCCTACCTGGGGATGATAGTTTTGACTGTTCCCCAAATAGCCATGAAACAATTGTTTTATTACCAAATACATATAAGTTAACACATGCTGCATGTAAATAACACTGAGTTGTGGTCACCCAAACGCTTAAATGGGGCTCGCAAGGGTCGATTTATGTGCATCAAATTTGCGCCTGGTAACAGGACTCCTGACCGGGAAAACAGTTTTGACTGTTTCACCCCTGAAGCCAGAAACAGTCAAAAATGACTAATTATAATTTATATAGACTATTTGGTATTAAATTTAACTCTTAAGTAACTGGCACACACTCGGACTGGCTGACTTTGACACTGATCGACAGCCAACCATGCAGATTTACCATGCCAGTCAATAGATTTGATTCACTGGCTTGCTTTGTTATTGCTTTATGTCCTCAATAAGGAGCTGTATGGTCATTTACAGATAAGCCAGGTTTTGGTGATGAAGGAAAACCGGAGAATCTGGAGAAAAAACACTTGACTAATGCAGCCAGTACCTGGCAACTGCCTCAAACCCATGACCCAGCCTGGTGGAGGGCTAGTGATTGTAGACGGTCAGACGCTTAATAACTCGGCCACCACATCCCCTTGTTGCCTGGCAAACTCTGATTGGCTGACAGAAGCATGCCTCAGCCATTCTTTAGTCTGATGAAAATTTAACAGCATAAAAGTTTCATCAAATAACATCATGTCATAATGACTTAATGTATAACTAGACTACTCCGAATTGAAATGGACGTAAATAGGCAAAACTTTATAGATTTATAAAATATCGAAAAGCATTAAAACTCTTGAATCAGGACAGAAATGTCAAGTTTATGTTTGAAGTTTTTATTTTGAAGTTTTTATGTTTGAAGTTTTTACTGTTTTAGAACTATCAAAAGTAGCCTTGGGTAGATTGTGTACATTACCACAGAGAAGTACAATTTGATTTACATTTGAATGATTCAATACACTGATAAGATTTTCAACAGTACTGACAGTCACTGGTAACAATCTAGTGGATGTAAGATTTATAACGAGTTTGATGGATGGTTACCAAGTCGTTGCCAAGTTCCCAAAAATTATATCTTACTTTCAAGTACTATGATATATTTTTGGGGGGTCTGCAACCATATTTTTAAATCTTGCAGTCAACGCATGCCAAGTCTATAGTAATGATTCACTGGATCTGTTTATGGGTCACAGAATCATCTCACCTTTCCAACACTGCTGAGTCCTGTATTGCATAATGTTGACTGTATTACTTAGAACATATTGGCAACAGCAGATAACTGTGAACGGTATATATGTAGATAACTTTTGTTTATAGGCACAGTGCTCCTATTTAGCCTTTAGTCCATCAGACTTCTTCAGGTTGAACAAATAACTGAAGTTTTGATGGACTATATGACCGCTTAATTACATTTCGACCACATGGTTCTACAGGACTATTAGACCTTTTAGTGTTGTTTTTTTTTATCTAAAACTTGACGTATACAGTTTTATAATTTTTGGGTGTTTTTTGGGCCAAGCATGTCTCCTTCTTAGGTCCATTAGACCTCTTAAAATTTTGGCTTGATATATCAATTTAGACTCTCATGAAACTATCAGACCTCTTACTAAATTTCAGCCATAGAGGGGTCTTCTACAATCCATCAGACCTCTTACAATTGAGCCATAAACATCACCTACGCTACAGGACCATTAGACCTCTTACAATTGAGCAATAAACAAAACCTACCTTACAGGACCATCAAACCTATTACAATTGAGCCATAAACAACTCCTACACTGACAGGACCATTAGACCCCTTACTTTTCCAGTCATACAAAAACTCCACCAGGAACAAATGACTTTGAATATTTGGCCACAGAGAACTTAAAAGGAATTATCGCACCACTTTTTATTTATTTTTGGCTACAGAGAGGATTCTTACACTACAGGATAATCAGACCCCTTAGTTTTAGCCACAAACAGAACTTGTACAGAACCATTAGACCTTTAATGGTTAGGGCAAATATGGACCTATATACAGGCCCATCAGACCTCTTAGTTTTAAGCCACACGCAACAATTGTACATGACCATTAGACCTCTTATGGTCAGGGTAAATACGGACCTCTACAGGCCCATCAGACCTGTTGGTTGTAAGCCACACACAGAACTTGTACAGGACTGTTGGACCTTTTATTGTTAGGACAAATATGAACCTCTACAGGCCCATCAGACCTCTTGGTTGTAAGCCACACACAGAACTTGTACAGGACTGTTGGACCTTTTATGGTTAGGACAAATACGGACCTCTACAGGTTAATCGGACCTCTTAGACTGTTGGCCACACACATGGACTGTCAAAAGTGTTACCTACAAACACTTCACTTGTATGACATGTGAAAATCATGTTATCACCGATCTGATCTTCAAACTCCATTCAACTTTCACCTGAAAGAACTCCCTGTTCACTGGGTTATGTACACAGCTTATAGTAGACAAGTAATAATTGAATCAACAAGTTACCCCTATACTGTAACTGTATATTGTTTTCTGTTTGGTATTTCTGGACTTGATCATACAAACACGAAGTTATTCACACTCACACACACTAGAAATGTCATGAATATAAGAACCATTTCATTACTGTATGTGTGTATGTTAGAATGTATGATTGCATGATTCAGTAAATATAGAACGTATCACATGGCCTATTCAGATTGAACTATTTTATAAGTGATATTTGATACACTTTTAGGTTGTTCTGCAGTAGCATAAATATGACGTGATATTAAATCATAATAATTATAATAAACAATGGTTCATTCACACACACAGAGGAAAGTCATAAAGAGAACTCTTTCAATAAACATGTATTACTGTATGTATGCATGCTTCATTAAATATAAAATACATTGTATGGTGAATTTAGATTGAATTATTTTATAAGTGATATCTGATACATTTTTAAACTTTATCGTCTTTAATAACTCGAAGTTTTTCTAAGTTGTAGCATCATGAGATATGCGATTGTAATAATTAAGATATACACCAATATGCTGATGTACTGTATTACTAAACTTAATATACCATAAACAATATTACATACATCATCATACTCCTCAAACCAAACTCTGAAATATTTGATTTCTTTACGAAACCAAATTTCAAATGTACATGTATGTACCAGAATCCAATCTTCATATGGGATCACAAACCAATCTCAGACTCACTCTACAAACCAAACTCAGGCTCACTCCACAAACCAAACTCAGCCTCACTCCACAAACCAAACCCAGACTCACTCTACAAACCAGACTCAGACTCACTCCACAAACCAAACTCAGACTCGCTCCGCAAACAAAACTCAGACTCGCTCCACAAACCAAACTCAGACTCGCTCCACAAACCAAACTCAGACTCACTCCACAAACCAAACTCAGACTCACTCCACAAACCAAACTCAGACTCACTCCACAAACCAAACTCAGACTCACTCCACAAACCAAACTCAGACTCACTCCACAAACCAAACTCAGACTCACTCCACAAACCAAACTCAGACTCACTCCACAAACCAAACTCAGACTCACTCCACAAACCAAACTCAGACTCACTCCACAAACCAAACTCAGACTCACTCCACAAACCAAACCCAGACTCACTCCACAAACCAAACTCAGACTCACTCCACAAACCAAACTCAGACTCACTCCACAAACCAAACTCAGACTCACTCCACAAACCAAACTCAGACTCACTCCACAAACCAAACTCAGACTCACTCCACAAACCAAACTCAGACTCACTCCACAAACCAAACTCAGACTCACTCCACAAACCAAACTCAGACTCACTCCACAAACCAAACTCAGACTCACTCCACAAACCAAACTCAGACTCACTCCACAAACCAAACCCAGACTCACTCCACAAACCAAACCCAGACTCACTCCACAAACCAAACTCAGACTCACTCCACAAACCAAACCCAGACTCACTCCACAAACCAAACTCTGAAATATTTGATTTCTTTACGAAACCAAATTTCAAATGTACATGTATGTACCAGAATCCAATCTTCATATGGGATCACAAACCAATCTCAGACTCACTCTACAAACCAAACTCAGACTCACTCTACAAACCAAATTCAGACTCACTCCACAAACCAAACTCAGACTCACTCCACAAACCAAACTCAGACTCACACACAAACCAAACCCAGACTCACTCTACAAACCAAACCCAGACTCACTCCACAAACCAAACTCAGACTCACTCCCCAAACAACTCAGACTCGCTCCACAAACCAAACTCAGACTCACTCCACAAACCGAACTTCATGTTAATGCAAATTTCATGTTTGACTTATCCACAAACAATCCTTTTTTCTTCACAAAACATTTAATATCTCCATGTACCACAAACCAATCTTCATCAACCATAAAACCAAATTTCACAATACCACAAATTAACTCTGTACCAAAACCAAACTTTTGCATCACAAAATGAATGTTGTGCTTACCACAAACCAAACTCAAAGTACATGTACCAAAAACCAGAATTTATTTTTCACAATGAAAACCAACTTTATTCTCCACAAACCAAATTTATGTACCACAAAGCACAGATCATGTACTTTGTATCACAAACCAATCTTCATGTATCAATGTATCAACCCATTTTATTCAACACTTTACGTGTATATCAGAATTGGTGACCAAACAAACAGAAACAACAAAAGTACTACAAGTTTTAGGGATTAAGTTTATCAACAGACTTCAATAGGTATTGGATAAGCTTTAAGTCAAACTAAACATTAACATTTCTCCCTTACTTAAATCACCTGCAGAAACTAACAACGTAGGTGTAAAATCGGCCTGTGTATTGAAACAAGCTCCGAAGATTTCACAGTCAGTGACTTTCCATTGAACCCTTTATAGCTTCTAAAACATTTTGCCCTAAGGTTTGAAAACTAAAGTAACCTTGGCTATTTAATTAATCAAGATAAACTATATACCACCACCTATATCCAACCAGAAAGATTTAACTATCTGTGGAGAATCACAATGGGATATAAAACTAGCTGAATTATATCTAATGACGTAATTTACTATCTGTGGAGAATCACAATGGGATATAAAACTAGCTGAGTTATATCTAATACATAGGTATGGGGCAAAGACGTAATTCCAACAGTAGATACATACGTAGATATACTCCAGTAATACACAATAGAAAAAATAAGCATTTCTTCACATTAACATTTTTTTTTACTCATTGATTATAAAACAATTCTCGGTTGCAACCCTCTGATTTTTTTGATTTTTTTTACTTAAGGTACCTGTCACTTCATAGGACTTAAGGTACCTGTCACTTCATTTTTTTTTTTATTTGTTTATTTTCAAAGTATTTTTCACATTACAGTAACATATACATTTCATTATACATAATGAATTCCACTTTCACACATACTTTCATACTAATTAATATTGCTCTTTTTGTAAGTGGTATTTTATTTTATTGTAATGTTATATTAGAAAAGAAGGAAAATCAGAAAAGAGAAACAAGAAAACAAAGAAATAGAGGAAATAAAGATAGGTAAATGGACAGAAAGAAAGACAGACAGATAGACAGACAGACAACCCTCTGATTTTATTAATCTGTTAACACACATGCAATGTTACAGACCTCACCTAGACCTGGGCCCGTATTCATGAGACCATTATCATGCTCAAGCATGGATTCTGTGCTCAAACCAACTTTCTTGTAACTGCATACACTTAAATCACGTAAAACAATCGATTGGATGTGAATAGGTATGGGGTCATCTGACCCGGCCACCATATGTTGTTTTTTTCTGGGTACTCCAGTTTCCTCCCACATTAACACCCCCCACGCACGAACATCCAGGCAAGTTGTAAAAATTGTTTCATAATTGTTGTAAAAGAAAGAAAATGTATATATTACAGCATAACACGTCATTTACAGAAAGAATAATCCAAAAAGACTGCTGACATTTTATTGAGAAAAAATCCAAATTTTATCTTATTGACAGTGAAAAGATTGAGTCAAAGAGAGCCCATAGGACCTTTAAGCTGACAGGTTAACAGGAAAATATAGCTTGAAATGTCATTTATAATATCTAAAAAGGTCAATAGAGTAGCAAGGTGTCAGAAATGCTAATTACATTTTGTTGAGCCATTACACATTCCACTCTGATCTATTTTATTTATATGGGTGGATAATTAATAGAAAACATTCCTATAAGAAAACATTCAACTAGAAACCAATCTCATCAATCGATCACCACCTGTCAAATCTAATTTACAGGTGATTGACATTGTAACTTTTAAATGACCTTGATTACTTTTCTTTCTTAATATGAAGACTGAAGTCAAGAAATTACTACCGTAGCTATCCTGAAATAAGCCCATGCCTGGTAAGAAGCCCATCTATATTTATTACAGTTCAATGGAAATGCCAAAAACTGCCGATTCATTATCCTGTAATAAGTGATTATCTCTCTACTTGGAGTCCAGAGCTTTGTGGACCCATGGCTTATTGCAGAATATATATATATATACCGTAAACACAGTATTGTACCTCTTTTCCACAAAGTTTCTGTCACATCCACTAGTTGTTTCAGAACCAAAAACCTGAAGTACTACAGATTACTTATATTTTTCTTTGTATAATTTCGTGACTTTACCTTACCTGTATATACATACCTACTTCAGAGGATGTATTGTACGTGTTATGTATGAAAAAGCATTTTGCTTTATGTTTGATTTCACCAATGAATTCTTATATTGCTAGCATTAGACTGGAAGAGACCATATGGAGTCCTGCCCCCCCCCCCCCCCCCCCCCAAAATTAGACTGAAAATGGTGCGGATATATTTTCTGTTTCCTTTTCATTCTACATTGACTGGCCCCTCCAAACTTTAATTTAGCCAGAACTGGCCAATTGCTCTCAGCTGGCAGGTTTTTCCTTATCGTTATGATGAGATTAATTAAGGTGCAATATTTTGTGACCTGATTATACATGCATCATCCAGTCTCATTGCAAAAGTATTTGGCAACAATCAAGCATGCCTGCATCATAACTGCTGTTTGCTAAGCATTTTAATGACTTTGCACCAGCGAAGTTTATACATGGTATGTATACCTTGGCCTTTTCACTACACAAGGCAACTCCGAATTGGATTTACAAGCTGGTAAAAGAGCGAAAATATTTTACCAGGTAAAATTATGACTGCTTACAGTTAAGTACTTTAAAGAACAAAAAGCACTTGCTATTGATATTATGAACAATGGTGTAAAACAATATGGCTGAAGGAATTCTGTTGTATGATTACAAAAAGGTTCTGAGTGAGTCTTTATGAGCCCTAATTGCGGCTTCAGATCTGTCTGGCGTCCATTCAGCTGTTCCACTGGTAGAGTTTTTATAGTGCTTTCCTATGTTCTTGTTATAAATTATTTATGAATGGCATAATCAGTATAGAATTTAAAATCCTACGTTTGTTCATACAGCCACGAATACATAACAGAGTAATATTGCAATGAAAAATTCATATGTTTTTATCAATTTAATTTGTACATTTCCATATTGGTTTAAGTTAAGGAATGCAAGGATTTGATAAGTGAACGGTTACAATAACATAAGTATCCAAAATAGAAATGTTAGAAAATAATAAAGATTATTTTAAAAGGATTGATTTTAGTCATTCATACCTTGAGTTTTTACACTATACGAAGCCCCATACTGTTCTTTAATTTAAGGCTTTTCAAAGGAAAACAAGTTAATTGCAGTTAAGGAAAAGTCTTTATTTTAAAGATTTTTTTCTTAATATAACTTTTATAACTTAGCATAGAGCCTTCTTGTGGAAAAACTAAAGCGACAGAATTTTGTTAAGTTATAAGGAACACTCACAAAACCGAGTCGATTCCATATATGTCACGATTTTGCTACATCCCCACAATGTTATATAAGTTATTAGGTATATTTTATAAATGGGGATCTCTTACATATTACCAGTGTATCAAATAGGAGCCACTTTAAGCTGTGCTGTCACCCTATATGAAATAAATTGAGCCCACAGAATTGATATACATGTATATGACACAAAAAAATACATTATTCTTAGCCGAAAAGACATTTAGGAAACATATGTCAATAACTGTTCAGAAAATTCTTTTCTTTAAAGCTTGAAAACTCTTATCATGTAACCTTTGAATTATTTAGTATATTGATCAATACATTTTGTATACAGCTGTTCCTGAAGTATATACCAAGTCATTTAATATATTAAGCTCCCACGGGAGATCTGACATATTTGTTTACATAATATGTCATTCACTGTCACCGAGATATATGTATAGGTTTGAAAACTCTTGAAAAACCTCTGTCACTTACCAAAGTTCTACTGTAGCATATCCCTCCAAGATAAATCCACTGGATTCCCCAAATGTATATAAAATAAATATTTCACCAAAACACAGGTTCAACTTTATACAGGTAACAAATTCACAAGAAACACACTGCTTAGGTAAGTGCAAAACCGGTAACTTTCTTAATCTCCATTTCTAGTACCGTCGTATTTTAAATATGAAATCCAGTTTAAACATGCAAGCATTGAGCTTAATAAGAAATATTAATACGTACCTTTACGCCGGCTTTGACTGTCTGTAGGAATTAACACTATGGCGAGTTAAATCTCTGATATTCCGACACAACACAAACGAGATCCCATACAATACCCAACATGTATCAATTTGTTTTCAATGTACATATTAAGGCTAGCAGTACGTAGTCACCCAGTGGCGGGCTTTCCACCATTGGTCTCTGTGATGACTATACAGGTGTAGTCGCCTACTGTACGACACAATACCTGCATTTGTACCGTAAATGTCCATAACATTGCATAAATTTAAAAACCAGTGGATTGTTTTTATCCCTTATTCAATATTTACACAATGATCGGCTAGCTAGTAATACCTTTACTGTGTTAGAAATCATTTTTTTATTTCATATTATTTATTCATTATTTATTCATATATAATTGATAAAACAGTTTGATACCTGTCAATAATATGTGATAATTTTTTCACTCAATTACCATTATGGGTTTTGTACATATTTCATTACCGGTATTTATTTATCAGTGATCAACATTTTATTCAATGCATTCATTTATGAACTTATTAACCATTCATAACCACTAACAGTGCCTATAATAAGAGCCCATTGGGTATTAACAGAGAAAATGTTAGAGGTTATGGTTATCATAAAGGTTAATAAGATTGTTGGTTTTGAGTTTAACATGCATGCTCCCTGCACTAGTCAGCTAATGCCATATGAAGACGGGTGCCTTGGGAGACATCACTGGAAAGAAAGAGTAAGATAAGAAAGAGAAAAGAAAAGATAAAGATTGTCAATGTTCCATAAGCAGGAGACACTAAAGAAACCCCTTGATTTTGCAGGGGGCCCTATGTAGGTCACCTCTAGGGATAACGTGTAGTGAGGTCCTGTAACAGCAATTGATTCAGATGAAAATAGTTATTTGATTTATTTCACGATTGTTGTAAAACAGGGTTTTGAAAGAGGGGGTTCATTTCATGCTATTCTATTATAATTTAATCTTGCTTGTTACAAGCATTTTCATTGGCTTAAAAATTTATGTTATCAGCCCATAACGTAAAAAAAATGACGTCGCCGTTTGTAACGTCACTTTTGATTGGCTGATACAGCAGCGCAATAATTCCTAAAAGAAAAGAGTCCATCAATAAAAGTGGATTTCCACAGGGATTGTGTAAAGTAGATTAAATTATAAGGATTAACTTGAATATATTGTGTTACATCTCCATAACATGAAAAATATATTCAAGTTAATCCTTAAGTAATAGGTCATCTTGTGTATTGAATTAAAACAAGTATATAAGACCTCAAGATACTCCATATAACTGGGGGTTTATTTTGAAAAATGCTTTTGCATTTACATTCATTGTATTTGCAATGAGATTCATTCATGAATTTAAAACTTTTGTGATAATCATTTCCAGAGAATTATAATCAACGTTGAAATAGCACCAGTTGTGATTGGATTTTTTGTAGATGGACCCTTTATACCCTCTCATTAATGAAGTATTGGTAAATTTAAATCTTTAAGCAGTAAGTTCACGATCACGAAATAAAGTGACTTACAATTCTCATATTGGTTTCAGTACTCCAGCAAAACCTGTCTAATCTGACACTCTGCGGAACACAATAAAGTCAGATTACACAAAATGTCAGAATACACAGGTTGATAAGTGTTTAATTAGACAAGGTGAAAGAAATTATTCTGGGTTCTGATTACACAGTTTCACTCGAACTTCTTTTGACAGACATGAAATAAAACCATAACTACAAATTACGGAGATCTTCCCTTTAATATTTGAAGTGTTTGTTTCTAATGCCTGTACTAACAACATTACCAAACACTTTATTTAATATGATAATTTGAAATTAATTCATTTGATTACTTTTACCAGCAATACTTGATATATGTTAATAATTTACAATCTATAGGCAATATCATGTAAGAGTCAACCAGGCGCGTAGCTGCCACGTAGGCATGCAATGAAGCAGTTTCATGCATATCAAAAATACAAATGTACTATTATATTTTTATTTATTTATTTTTGTAGTCTGGAACAGTGATTAAATGATGTGTGGTCCAATTGAAAAATATATCAAATGAAGCTCGACAAAGCTTTTAGATCAAAATAATTTCCGGGGGTCATGTCCCCATACCCTCTCGAATGGTTTCGTGCCTTCGGTGCGACTTTCTGCATGCACATCGGAAACAGCCCAGCTGATCTTGTTATGAGCATCAAACTCAGAAAAGGCAAGCCATCCCTGTAATTTGAAGTGATTGAATTGATCCAAATAGGTGCATTATCTATTTTCTACAAGTAGTGGTTAATTAAACAACCCTGTTAAATTAAATTAACAACCCTGTTAAATTACAAGTTATATATATTTGTGATAATCCCCAGGACTCTGCAGGTTCCTGAATGTATACACTAATAAAAAACTGTTTTATATACAAACAAAATATTTTGAATCATTTTTGGAATCAAAATCTGCAGTAAAAAAAAAAATTGAAGCAAATATTACCCCCAAAAAATTGCTGTGGTGTTTTTTTGTACAGATTCCCTCGTATGACATTTAAAGTTGTACATTTCAATCAAAACTGCCAGAGAAAGTCTATAAAGGACTGTTCCGGGACAATTTTTTTTCAAAAGAATGATGATTGAATGATAGAAAAAAGTCAATAACCTGTCTTCAAAGGTATAACAGCCTCACCGCTGAAAGACGCCCAATACCATTGTAATATCGTCAGACGGGCATTTAAAGTCCACTCTACAGGGAGCTATTGATTGGCGGTGTAGTTTAGTTCTACCCTAACTATAGCATATCTACCGTTTATATTTACCTATTGACTTGCGTGGACTTGTGGTCTTTGACGGGTGTTTGAATATACAACAAGGAATATTTGATATAGGCACTGAGCACACGCTTCAGACGAACATAATGGGCCAGTTTTCAACACTCGCTGACAATGTCGACGCTGCAGACTTTGGTGGCGTTTATCAAACACCCTTTGATTGACTGTATAAAGCAGAAATGACATATGCTGAATTTTAAAATCTGATCTGATTAAATACCATCAAGATTTAATTTGTCATACTATACAATAATTAAATGTCAATAAGAGGTTACTTGATCTTACTGATATAATGGCGTATTGGAATTATGCTTCTTATAAATTCTGATCAGCACTTCACTATACTATCAAAACACACTTGTGTTACTCATCTGTAAAGAAGAATACAGGTGCTTCTAAATTTTTTTTTTTAATTACAACAGTTGTTTATGTCATTGAAGGGGTAGGGGATTACTGCTATAGTGAGGGGGAGGGGTATTCTCAGGATGCGGTAATAATGAGTTATGGGGGTCGGGGGACTGAATAGTAACTAGGAGTATTGGGTTTGGAAGGGGTTACGTAAAGGAATGATGGTAACAGATTTGGATAGTGCTGTACTTCACTGATGGAGAGGAGGTTGGGGATTAAGAATGGAGTTGTTTGCAAATTGTGGGGAGGAGATCAGTATAGGAATGAGGATAATGAGGAGTCATCATTTGGTTGGGTGGGGTTTAGGGTAGGACAGCTATTCACTGGAAGAGTGATAGGGACAGTGTTGGGAGAATATGCAACAAAAGTGTAGGGGATTATACATTTATATAGAGAATAATTTCTTATTCTACAGATAAATCATGTGTTAATTGAAGCTTAAATCAATTCTGATCACTTAATGTGTATTTACCCGAGAAAATGATTGATCTATTGCACTCGACATACCAGTTGACATTAACACTTGTTTAGATCAATAAATACATAATAAATCATACTTGGATATTTGTTGGCATTATCATCGGCAACAATTAATGCTCTGGTAACCTTTTCAGGAATTAATGCGTTCACGTGCGCTGTCATCCTTACACAATTGCCTTAATCTAATTCTGTCCCTCGTGTTTTTGGATACTATTTATTAGAAATGGAAATATTCTATAAATATTAGAAACAGGTGAATCATCAGCATGTGACCTGTCTAATGCAAAGCATGGATAATCAGAAAACCTGTATAAAGCAGACATTCTACCGATAGGTACTACTTAGTGTAGTCATTACGTTGTACTATGTAAAGTATTCAGAAAAAGAAACCTGAGACATCCCACCTAGGTACTACTTCACATGTACTGTATACATTTCTATGTAAATTCATCCTCTGATATCAGAAAACCTGTGTAAACAAGACAGTCATACACCTAGGTGCTATTTTATACATTTCTGTACATTTCTAAGTGAACTGATCCTCTGTTATCAGAAAACCTGTGTATAAGCAAGACATTAAATACTTACACCATGGTGTTAACACACTGTATACATTTCTATATAAACTGATCCTGTGTAATCAGAACACCTGTATAAATATATATATACTGTATATATCTATGTAAATAGATCATGTGTACAATTATTAATTAAGCGACCTGTATAATCCAGACATTCTATATTACAGATATGCCACATACAGTATACATTCTAGGTTCTAGGCAATGCAGTCTATGATTCTCAAAATATTGATTTAGACATCTTTAAACTTTTAACATTACACTTTATATGCATGCATACCTGGTTAAACAATTTTAAACAAATATACCAATGTACACTCACTACAGGTAGCTACAACCATCTATCTTATCTATCAATGTAAGTAACGTATATGTGTAGACAAACACACCCTATCGCCTCTGTGCTCACTACAGGTACATATAGTGTTCTTGTTGAAGGTATAGATATCTGCGTAGGTATACAGGTAAATGTGTGATTTATAGACTTTTTCAAAAGGGACCGGGGCAATATTATCAGGTTCATAAAATATATAATTGATCAATTGTGAACTCTATAGCTATAAGGATTGCACATAAAACTACGTATCTAGTAAACCCAGTGTAGGTCGCATAACGGCCATACTCATATTTTACAATTCGATAATATCTATGAGATTACAATTTGGCTGAAACCATACCTTTAATTTTGTATTTTACAGCTGTTTTCAGACTATCTGGCATTTTAACAACTACCTATACACAGTAAAGCACATAAATCAACTTAGAACTGATCAGTCAACACCATTAACGGCTTAAAATCATTAATTCAACATTAAGTATAAAAGAATGATATCCAGTTAGGAATGAAAATCTATGGCAAAGTTCAAGACCATTGATAGGAA